CACTTATCTGGCAGTTCATGTCCCTGGGAGCTTCCCCTTCTCCAGAGACAGACAAGTATATAGGCTCACTGGTCGCAGGTGGGACAGCCAAGAGAATGAGGGTCACCCTTTGGACACTGTAGGGCTAGGGAGATAGGAAGAGGGGAACCCTTGGCCTCTGTCTAGGCTGAAAGGAGATTAATATACATTTATATGTATATATTTGTGTATAAACATAAAGGAAACATCTGTAACCAGAAAAGACAAGCATTTGGGATTGGATAAACTAGAAACCAAGCATTTTTAGGTTAGAAGGCACGTGGCAAATGCCCATAAAAATGTCAGCTACAATTTTGCATGTTGCTGACAAACAAAATGACAAACTTTCCCAGTAGTGTAGGTTATTATTGCCGGAGAGAAGGGTCAGAATAAGAATCTGCAGATAGTCTGTTAGTGAAGTGTCCAAAATGGCAATCTAAAAGTTTCTATTGCTAAGCTGACGGGAGGGTTTCAGTTAAACAGGTTCTGCTTACAGCTCCCACTGCATCCTCAGTGATAATTCTTAAAGCGTTGCTGGGAAGCCTGTTTATCTTTTTAGAAATCATAAAATAAATACCAGAGAAGGTCTAAAATATTTTACTAAAGCCTCTAATGAACTGTAGGGTCGAGGAAAGTTTTCCAAAATGCTGACGGGACATCATCAAAGGCTGCAATCCATATCTCTGGTGGGTGCTGCTGCTGCATTAGCAGACATTAGTAGCAGCCTGCATAAGGACAACTTCAGTGCTAAGCAATTCATAAATTGGTCATACTTGTAAAGATTCGTTGTTTCTGTGTCTAGCAGCAGTGCGAGCCAAATGATTTCCAAGTGATTCACTGACCACCTCATTATTAACAGTGAGTGTGCCAGATACCCGCAGACCTGAAGTAACAGTTAATTCAAAAGCCTGAGCTAGGTTTTGTTTCACTCCTGCGTGTTGAAGGTGCCAGAACTTCGCTTCCCACAGAAGCATTGATGAGCTATTGCTATGCTAGAAATTTTTCAGACCAATCTTTCTGCAAGAATGAGCCTGTGAAAGCCGGGAGAATGATACACTGCTGGCTGTTTCCAATCTTTTAATCGATCTCCCCTGTCTAACTAAACAAAGGACCAGTCTCACACAGACAGGTGAGGGCAGCACATGTGAATATCCTGACAAAAAGTAAAATGACTGCAGTGGTATCTTCCTTTGTCAAATGGGTGAGTGGTGTTAAGCAGACAGTAAACCTGCCTCAGCTGTAGCAGCATTGAACTTAAGGGCTTTGTTAACTGCCTGAAGGGGGAAAAAAAAAAAAGCAGAGTGCATTTGAATGCCTTGGCAACCTCTTTGAGCCTGAAATAGTAAGCTAAAAATAACAAGATTGCTCTTACATATCATAGAGGCCAAAAGCTTAGCGGGAATTGAAAAGGATTAACATTTCATAGAGCTGGAAAGAATATGAAAAGTTGTTGTTTCCTGAAACAAAAGTGAATTGGGACAGCTATAAAGCCACCTGCTCAGTATATAAGCCAGCCTTTTAGTGATGGAAGGTAGGAGGGGACTTGCCATCAGGAATTAGAGAACTCTACGTCCCAGGATATATCCCAAAAAGAGATGTGAGGGAGGGCCAAAAAAAGTTACGTTCTTAGAAGATGTGAGAATCCTTTTAATCTAAACTGATTCTTGCACCCTGAAACTGTTTCAAAAGGGATCTGGCACCATTGCCACCTGCTAATGCTCTCCTCTACTGCAATCGCCGTTTGGCCCAAGCAAACAATTCATGTTTCAACTTGGTGGCTGAAGAAGAAAACACCTGCTTTCTGATATTCAGTACATTAAAAATTCATTATAGGCTGGGTATGTTATTAGTTAATCTTTTTCCCAAAGTGTGACACAATTGAAATCTATTCTGACTTTCACCAGGCGTGTACCTTGATTAACTCAACTAAATCAACAGAGCAAGTGATCAGCACCTTGCCCACATAGTAACATTCGGTGGCCACTGTTACTGGTGTGCCCAGAACGGTGTTTGCTGTGATGCCCTAGCAGTGTTTTTCTTACTTTGCCTTTTCTTTTTATCGTTGGAAACATTCTTGATATTTAAGGCTCTTGGGGCTCTAATCTTACCTTCCTCTCTCCCTCCTAGTGTCTATCAACTTGTTGTCAAGGAGGAGAAGCTGCAGAAAGCACGGAGAGCTGCAGACATCATTGAATGCTTCTCTGTCCCAGTGAGCTACAAGAACGCTTCCAGTCTTGACTCACCACACTACTTTGCAGCTGAGCTGAAACCCATCAACCTGCCCGTCACGCAGCCATTCACAGTGGGTGACAACAAAACCTACAATGGCTACTGGAATGCTCCACTTTCTCCCCTGAAAAGCTACAGCATATACTTCCAGGCTCTTAGCAAGGCAAATGGAGTAAGTGCATAGAAAACTGAAGTTGAATCTGTACATATGACCACCTCTGTCTGTCCTCCACATCTTTCTCCTTCATTCTCCATCGGATGCCAGTTTAATTCCTCCTCATTGTTACCCTCTTACAGAAATTTGATGAGAATTAAACATGCCACTACTTGTCCTTCACTGAAGTCTCTCTCTCTGATCCCTAGATCCAATGAGAAACCTGTTGGGGAGCCAGACAATGTAAAGACACATGTTGGCATGTGATTTACAAAATGAATTGCTTAGAATTTGTTGGTTTTTTTCTTGCAGTTGCATTAATGCCAGAGTAGAAGCTATTGTCCCTTTAAAAGATATAACTGCGATATCCTGACAGTCTCCAATTCACAGTGCTTGTGATTTTGGAGGAGACCTTATGAGATGAGAAATATGCAAAAGCTATGAAGTTGAATTACCTTGTAGCTTGCATTTGGTCACATCATAATGTAGCACTTACGGTTTGGATTTTCAGCTTGAGCAAAATGTAAGTTGTACTGCAGGGGGGAATATGTGCATGTCTGTCTTATTCCTTTTGAATACCCTGGACTACATTTTTACATGTACTTACTCTGTGATATTAAGTTTAAAATGGAGACCGCACAGGAAACATAGTCTGCCCTATTCTCAGACTCGAGTGACATACATGTAATGCCCCAACAGATCCCGTCATAGGAAAAGGGAAGGCCTCTTTTCCCGCTAATGTTCTTCTGTTCCAGCTTAGAATAGTTTGTGACCTTCTCTTTTAACTCTTCTGTTTCGGGTCTGTTCAGCTGACGGTGTACAGGCCGGATCCAGTCTAAGCAGTCATTCACCTACCTCCCCTTTGACTCCCCTAATTGTTTTTCTTTATCACATAACATGATATAATTTGACACTCTAGCCTCATGAAGGGTCTTAGAACATTAACATGGCATCAAGAAGTTGGGTAGCCGAGTGTGTTAGTAGCACATTTGCCAGTGCTTTCATGAATCTAACTTTAACATAGATAAATTCTCTAAGACATCACCTCTGAAAGAGCAAAATTAGAAAAATCAATCAAAGGTGAATGGTGTAGGCTTTGGTCTCCACTTGGGATAGTGTGTTTTATACCCAAAAAGCAGCCGTAAATCACAGAGGACCGTACATTGTTTAACAGGCTAGCAATGCCAATGAATGTTCACAACATATCTTGGTGTTTTACTACCTTCATTTATCACCATTCTCCTGCAGAGTTTCTGCTGTGTGGCTGACAAGCACAAATCTCTTCAATACCATGCTGTTTTTCACCTTGGTTTCCTTTCTAGTCGATACAGTTTCCTTCCAGCGCTACTCAATTAATTCAATTTTGGATTTGCCTTTATAAAGGAAATTGTGAAATATATGTATATGTCTCTCCGTGTCTAGTTAGTTCCCCCTTGTGTGATAGTTAATTGCTAGTGAATGGATCCCCAGGGAAGGAAAGACTTTATTTGCTTAAGTACAATATAATATGCTGTAAATGGGTTATATGAATGGAAATGTAGGCTTCCCTTGGCATTCTGGATGAAGGCAGCATTAATGTGTGTTTCCTGCTTTTTCTGGATCTCTGGCTGGCAGGTTGCATCACTCTCTCTACATACAAGGTGATAAGGACTCAAAAAAGGATGACTTGCTTGGGCTGTTCTAATAGGAACACGAGACTGTAAAGGACTTTTTAAGCATAAGTTAATCGAAAGAGTCTGTATGCAACAGTACACAGTTTATGACAGCATGAATCATAGAATCCTTTAGGTTGGAAAAGACCTTTAAGATCATCGAGTCCAACCGTAAACCTAACCCTAACACTGCCAAGTCCACCGAGAAGTATCCTGCCAGACAAAACAAATTCCTATTTGAGCAAGCAATTGCCTCTTGTGTTAATAATTAATATTGGTACAGTATATGCTTATATATCCTCAAAGTGCAGCGCTATGGGAAAAAATACAGATTAAATGTCCAAGAGTTGGAATATGGGTCTTCAGGGGAGTAGCTGTGATACTTTCTGTTTCTGGATAAAATCCTTAAGCCCCACATTTCAAATATTAGGGTCTGATTTTCATCCAGTCTTTTGCAACTGTAAATAATAAGTTTTTCCTCCATTCCCAGAACTGTTTACAGGTATAATTTGTATTTAAGAGTTCTGGGTTTTCACTTATGTCTATAACCTGAGCAGCTTTGACTGTTCTTCATAAAGCCTACTAATAATTATGGCTGCAATGAGGCACTTTTGATAATGCACATCTGCAAAAAATCTGAAACAGTAACAATTTAGCACAATTAAAATATAGCCTTATGTTCCCTTGCACATGAAAAACTTAACAGAACATTGCCACTCACTTTTTAATTAGGATATTCTGTAGTTTCATTAATCACTGACAGTTGTGGAATGATGAAGCTTCTTTCCACACCTGGAACCTGCAATGAGAAACCTTTGTGCAGTGAACCAGAACATCTTCCTTTGGAAATGTAGGACTCTGGGGAGAGCTTAATTTGAAGAAACATACTGTATTTGGTCAAAAAGCTTGATTAGGAGGAGGTAGAAGTGTTATAGGAGTTCTGCATTGTTTCAGCTCCTCTGTACGTGGAGGGTTGTGCTCATTTGGTGTTCTCATCTGCTCTGCAACCATTAGCTGTGATTGTTGCAATGAAAGGAACATAATTAACAGCTGGATGCGAAACAAGTGTGGCAAATTGCTGCAAAATCAGGTCACAAGCTTTTCTGCCTTCTCTTGTGCAATGTTGTACTTGTTTGAGAGTTTGAATGAGATGGCTGTCGCTGGCTGAATTCTTTTCTGTGGACAGTTGCATGAAGATTGGTCGACGTGGTGTTGCTTCCAGACTGGGGTCTAAGTAGAACGTGTGTGAAACAGAATGGTTTTCAGCTTTGTTATACAAAATGCTTCCAAATTGTGTGAATTTCCCTCCTAGGGACTGTTGAAAGCCAGATGCTGAACTGAAATGTGTCAGAGTTTGAAGTAAGAGGGGAAAAAAGAGAGAAAGGAAACAGAAGCTCCAGGCTTTGTAACTGTGGGGGTGAGAAGCACCATTAGTTACTGTTTAATTGTTAGACGGAGTTAGCACAAGAAGTGACACAGAAGAAGAATGGACAACCGGCTTCGCTCTCCTCTGGCAGGATCTCCACACACGCTGTCGCAGCCATCCAGGTAGTTAACTGATGTTTGCCGGTTGTCCTGGTGCCACCTGCTACAGATGGCTGCCTGGCAGAGCATGAAGTTTTCCTTGTCTGAAAAACCTCCCTGAACTCACCCCTTTAAAACACCAGCCCTTTCAGTGTTTATGCCTCTGAAAGGTGAGGCCAGGGTGGCAACACTGTGTTACTCCTTATCCTCTCTTATCCTTATGCTGACTAAATAATCAAAGTTAAATGTTGCAGGTTTTATTGTCCCCAAGTTCTTTATCTGGGTCATTGTAGGTGACAGTCTCTGGTTAGTGATCCAGCCACATGGTCAAACGGGGAGAATTCTTTGGCTGCTGTGTGAAACCTGCCTGAATTTTTGAGATGCTCAGAAACCAGAGCTACCTAAAAATCCTTCCTGCGGTTGCATTTTACCTCATTGAGTTGAAATTAAATCAGTAACAGCACAGTTGCAATCAACAACTCTTGGCCATTTTTCCTCTAAATGGGAGATGAGGCAGGAGCCTTTGTAACACAGCTGGAGATGATGTGGGGGATGCTGCCAGCTGCTCCTGCAGCCTGGTGGTCCAACAGGTGAATGATGTCTTCAAGCCAGAATTGTGAAAAGTAGCACCACAGGAATCAATGAGAATATTATTTTTGAGGGAATGATAGACTCTATAGAGATTCTCACTGATTTTTTTTTTCCTCTCTAATGACTTGTACTACATGCACAATCGGGCAGTTCATTATTATCAGGGGACTTCAGGCTGGATTTCTGGATGCTGACAGGTCTACTTGCAATACACAACATTCTTCTTCTGGAACATTTTGGGAGGTATGGATAGAGCTGCCAGCAGAGAGGTGGCGTTCATCCCTGTGGAGATGGTCCACAAAAAAAACAGTGAGGTTCTTCAGTTCAGCACGAGCACTGTTCTGAAAAATGAAGTGTCACCAAGGTCGCTTGCATTGCTTCTGTGAACTACTAAACATCTTTGAGGAGCTCTGTGTTCAGTAGGATTTCGGGTGTACGGTTTTGTTCATATATGTTTACTGCTTCTTAATCTCATGGTGAAGCTGCTGGGGCAGAAATAAAGCAGCTGTGGAAGCACTTCACTCTTTGTAAGCCCCTGTTCGCACATCTGGTTGGCCATCTTGGACCACGGTATGTGGACCTGAGTGTTTTCTTGGTAGTTCTACCAACAGCGTAAATAAAATCCTCCAGCTTACCTCGCGTTTGGGAGGTATGGGTATTCAATGATTAACTATATATCATTGAAATAACTTTCTATTGTAAATAATAAAAGCCCTAACCACTTTGTTAAACCTCCCTTCTCCAAATGAGACAGATACTAAAAATAGCTGACAATTGGAAAGGCAATACTAGGTTTAGCTTAGTCTCTCGGAGAACTAGCAGTGTCCTTAAGCTGGCAATAGAAATTATAGGGGAGTCCATTGACCCTGCACAGACATATGCACATGATTCATTTTAAAGGCAGCAAACCGTTGCCTTCGGTGGGATAAAAAAGAAACACACGCTCTATAGCTCCCCTGAACTTGGGCAAAATTTGTTGAGGACAAAGAAAATAATTCCTTAGGATGTTCAGTGGACAGAACCACGGTTTCTATCCTGCGGGAAGCAGGTTGCCAACAAGCATGCTCAGTGTATAGCTCTGGGACACAGGGAACTAAAGATGAAACTGAGGTCAAGTGGGAGATTGGTAATTAGTTGTCTGTGCACCAGCAAAAGTTAAAATTGCCTGTCCCCAGTTTGAGCTGCCTGATGAAACTGTGCCTGTTGCAGGGCAGCCCCGAACAGTACGTCTGGGGACAGCGGGTCTCACTGGTGCTGGCAGGTGGTTCTTCCGACAAGGCATGCACTGTTTACCTAATGCAAAGTCATAATAATAGTAAAGGAAGGAAAAAATTGTGGGTGTGAAAACAGATGGATGAAAAAGCTCTGCTGCTTTTATTGTTGTTCATAGTCTGTAAACAGCAAGCTGTCATATCAAAAGAAAAGAAAAAAAAAATCATTTGCCCTTTTAGGTTGTGAAGATGCAGTTGTCACGTAAACATATGTCCTGCTGCCCTCATAGCCCTTTTCTGCAGAAAATTGTTCCCATCCAAACACTAAAGAGAGAGAGGCAGAACTTGTCTTGTTATCATCCAGTGTACTTCAGTGAAATGTGCGTTCAGGAACCTAAATAATTAGTAGACAGCATCAGCTCCCTTTCTTTGAAAAAGGAAGAAACAAACTACATTAAAAGAATGTTTAAAAAAAACCCTGAAAATTCAGAGGGATGCTAAAGCAGGCTCGTGGTGCATAGTTTCAAGTCTGTGTGCGTGAGCTGTATTGGCTGAGAGGGCTTACCCAGCTCCTCAGCACAGTTTGTGTCCTCTTCAGGGAGTCTCCCGCTCGTTCCAGCTGTAGGGCCGGGTCCGCCAGCACTCCGAAACACAGCCCTCATATAGTCTATGTTCATGGTGTACGGACTTAAAAATTTAGCCAAGGTTCAGCCTTGAGTGAGGGTACACCGTAATCATGTTTTATTCATAGAAAACAAACTTAGGTAAATATGTTCTAGTAAACATGTACATGGGCTTAAAGCGCAGTAAGCTTTCTGGATACGAAGCATGTTGGAAAATGAAGGTTGGATCAAGAGCTGTAGGACGTATTCATGCAGCATTTTCCTGTTCCAGGATCTTGGTTAAAATATGCCTACCTTGTTCTGTTACTGTTTGGATATAAAATGTCTGTCGTAACCTGGCAGAGATATAGAGCCAAAGTGGTAGCGCTAGTGGGATCTTAAATTGAATTATTTCTGTGGCTTCAGCCATAATATGAAACAGATATCTTATGCTGATTATGTAGGATCTTGGGTCATCATTAAGATTGTTCTAGACATAAGGCCTCGTGAAGCTTCTGTGATATCATAAAATGGGAATTAGGTATCACAGCATTTGAAAGAACGTTCAGAAACAACATGGACACTGAAATTTGGGGGAATTATTTTTGGTTTTTTACAACTTTTTTATTATCTCTTCATTTCGTTATTTTTCTTATAATTGCTTTAAGCCATCTGGACAGATAATTGAGAATTACCTGCGTTGTTTATTCCTGCTTTACTGTTGGCTAAACAGAAGCATCTTACTTTACTGTGAGCAGGAAAGCACCTTGTCTGAATCAAAAGTAGTATTTTTCAGAAAACAAATATGATTGTGGGAAAATGGTTTTACTGGTTTTTGGAAAAAACCCGTGTATTTATTCTGTTTCTTGGTAGAAAAGTTCATACAAACTCACAATTCTCAGCATCAATCAAAGAAAAACAGAGTAAATTTAAAGATCTCATGTTTATGAGACACCAAAGAGATGAGCAGTGGGTTGATCAATGAGGTGATCAATGGAAATCGATGGAATAATCAGCCCTAATCAGGAATATGGACTAAGTTCAAGTCTTTAAACTTAAGCATCCCTAGTAGCTGGATGTCTGGTGTCTGTGCAGGTTTTTTTTATGTTTTCCTTCTCAGAAGATGCAATTTGAAATGAAGTTCTGAAGTCCAGATGTCTTGTTTCTCCAGTGATTGATTGCCCTTGCTTTTGGCAGTGCCAGATCATGGTCTTCTAATAACTATGACTGTCTGTGCTAAATGCAACAATTAGTAGATGTAGATGCAAAGAGAACACACTGCATCCTGTCTTCTCAAATTACCCTGTGGAAGGGTAATGTGCAGGAATATGCACATGCTCAAATGAGATCAGTTACTGCATCATTAACAAGATTTCAGTTTTTGTTTTCTCACCTCTTCTTTTCTCCACATTGACTAATTTCTCCAGCTTTTTGTTGCACTTTGAAGCTAGCAGAAAGCAATAAATACACAAGAAAATTTTCCACAACGAAATGTGAGCAAGTATCCGCCTACTTTTAGACTGCAAAAATGCTATCTTGATATTTTTTATTTACTTTATTTTTTCATCGTTGATTTTCCAGGTCACCTTGTCTTAGATTGTAAACTACATCAGAATCTGTCTGTTCCCAGCATTATGTGCTGAGGCTGCGCTCTGAAAATAAAGCTATGTTTTTTCTGCTTCATATATCATCACTGGTAATAAAGATTTTGGATTTCCAGAATAGCTGGCAATTCGAGCTGATTATACACGAGGCAGAGAGGGAGCTCTGTTGTACAGCTGTGTTGACTTTGCAGTGCCGATGGTTGTACAGGTTGTGTAGAGGAGTTGGTTTTTGAGGGAGAGGTGTCAGTGCACCAGAGAGAGATGCCTCTGGTTTACTGGGATAAACAGTGCTTCAGTCCCACTCTGGGGGCTGTATGGCTGGGAAAGGATGTCCTTAATAGACATGATTTGTCCTCGGTGATCCAGGAGGTCCTTAAGAGAGTCTGAAGGCAAGATCAACAAAGGGACAGTTTGTCCTGAATATTTAGTTGTTTTTAGACTACACGCAGGGTTACTTACATCCAGCCAGTGTGGCTGACTTGTATCTTGAGGAATGCATAGAAAGGGATCAGAGGGAATTGCTCTTGCGTTTCCCAGTGTGGATCCTGCAATTGTCCCCTTTCCTACATGCAACGTGAGGAGAAAGGCACGATGGGACCGTGTGTTTCTGCTCAGGCCAAGGAATATCTGTCACAGACAGAACAGATTTTTCTCCAAGAGCAAATTCAGACTTTCACAGCGTTCATCTTATTGCTTGAGGATGGAATGAGGTGCTCAGCAGTGCATTTGCTAGGCTGGTGTTTACAGGGCACAGACAGCATCCATATTAATGTAGCATTGTTACACTCAGCAATTTATGCAGTATTCGTTACTCCTGAGACATGTACAAGAGCATGTAAAGACATGAAGTGCTAAGAAAACCCTGCAGCAGATTACTGCCTGACAAAGTCAGCTTTTTAACCAAAGCAATGCATGAAGGTTTGGACCGCAATCGTGCATCGGACAGAAGCAATCCATGCCAATAAGGGCTGTGGATTGAGGAGCTGGGGATACCAGAAAGGATGTGTTTTCAGCAGAAGTGGCCTGAGAAGGCTGCCAAGTTTGAGCTTTTAGTTAAACCAAATACAACACTGCTGTTCCGATCCAAACTCCTGTTCACGCAGATCTGCGGGCTCTGAGGTGGATTGAACAAAACGTTGGGTTTTATCCCAGCTCTGCAATGAAAAACTGCAGTGCTGTGGGTTGTGTTTGAATAGCTCATTTGGCAGAGCTAGCCGTACAGCATGCTGTTTTGCTTCACATACATATCAGAGAGCTGAAATATTCAAATGACTACTTCGGTGTCTGTTTGCCATGTGTTTAAATAAATACCCAATTTGCAAAATTTGCAGTAATGGTGCATGAAAATTAGATGTACAGTTGCATGTACTTTTGACCCAAGGCTTGTCTACCTATTACAGACCAGGTCATTTAACTGGTAAATTCTATTAGTTAATCAGGCAGTTACACGGGACCCATCATTCACACATCGAGTGTGGAAAAACATGTTGTCACTCTTAACTTCTCAACAGTTAGTGAAGCAGCTGTATGCAAGTCCATTAGTATGGAGTGTTTTATGCAACTAAAACTGTTGGTGGTATTTTCAAAGAGGAAGTGTAAGAAAAAAGCTTATTTGTTTTAGTGCCTTTTTAAAGGGATGTATGTTTATTGTAGGTGGGCAAATTACACACCTTGACGTTTTCCTTTTTTTTTTTTTTATTTTTCAGGAAACAAAAATCAACTGTGTCCGGCTGGCAACAAAAGGTATGTGAGTCTCCTTGTCCTGCAAAGCACAATGCCAGTAATGTAAAAGCTGCAGTGGTGACACAACTTGATTACAGTTACTATTCAAAGAGCAAGCCTCCTTCTTTTCTTTTTTTTTTTTTTCTTTACAAGGAAGATTACAAAGGCAGAACAACAATTTCCAGAACCACTTCGCTATATGTGTGGACTGTTTTTTCTTTAAGACAGGGTATCTGTCTTTCTGTCTCTCCTTTCCCTTATTCTGTCGACAGCTTTCCTGTCCTGAGGACTGTTCTTGCTATTGGCAGAATGTCACCGAAAAACCTTCCTATTAACTTTGTTCTCTCCACAATTGTATAAAGTAGATAAGTAAGAGGAGATCTCGCATAAGCCTAACCTTGAACACAGCGGGGCACAATTCTTATATCACACCATTCTCATGGTATAATTCAACAAACAGAGTAGAGTACGTTCCTTATTTTCATTGGAATTAGTTCAGAATAGACCAAACTGGTAAGTCAAATAGACCAAACTGGTAAGTCAAATAGACCAGACTGAGCAAACCTGAGACAAATATTATTAAGATGCAATGCTCCGATCCCCAGGTTGCTTCACAAGGTGTAGCTCTTGAGGGACCAATGATGACAATGTCCGGGTTCCTTCATGGAGTTTAGAGTTGCTTTAAAATCTTTTAAGGACTTCAAAATCACCCCAGGGGCTACTTTGCCAGCAAAGGTGTCAGAAACCAATTTACTTGTAACACAAACAGAGGAGTAGCTGTAAAGAGACTTCCTCATGTCGTAGCCTGAAAATGAGCTGTAAGGAAATGATAAGGTAATCGCCACGGGCTGTACTACAGGTAGCTCTCTCTTTCCAAAACTCAGGGTTGCATCTTGTGCTCTCGCTGCTTTACTAACAGGCATTACTGCCTGTGGAGTCTTTCCAGAGTTGAACAGAAATTGGCAGGAACCTAAGACCTTTTTTTCTTTGAGGCACCATCTCTTTTTTTGCATTCTTTTCACTCCTTTCTGTCTTGTGGCAGTAACAGAAGTTAATTACTTCTAGGTACTTTATCCTGATCACTTCTGCATCTGCACTTACCGAGGAGTTGGGAGGGATCAAAGAAGCCCCAGCTAACAGTTGTTGGGTAGCAGAAGAGGAATTTTTCCACCTTTATATGGAGGCATCCCCCAGTCTGTTACAGAAAGCCATGCACTGGGATGGCAGGTGCTGCATGAAGTTCCTACCCGTGCAGCTGTTTTCACTGCTGACACCCAAACTGGTGGGGCTGTAAGCAGTTGTGTCACCACTGAAAGCCAAGGAGGATGAGCCATTTCTCCCCTTTCCCCTTTTCATCTGTGGCTCTGGTGCTCTCCATATCCTCTTGTTGCTTTCCTTTTTAAAGGTTCCTTGTAAAATCTTCATTTAATTCATTTCTGTGGGCTACAAACATTCTATGTGTCTCGGTCTCCCCTCCTTCCCCCTCAGTTTTTCCAGCTGGTAGTGGCGTGTCCATTTTGGATACCTCATGTTGGCTTTCTGGTGGTAGAAAGAGAAAGAGCAGGACTGGGTAAGATGAGTCTGGGTGAAATGAGTCTCCCCGGGGTTTTTCCAGAGCGTGACTAGAGGTCTCTTCATGAGATCAGAGAAACTGGATTAATTCATTCTTGGAAACCTGTAGTTTCTTCTGTTTCAGTCGCTCCTTTTTCTGGAGTTGGTGGAAGAATGTTGTCATGCTAGCAGAAAAGGTATTTGCTCTGTGACTATTCAAAGAAAAACAAAAACTCTACGTAGCTTGAGAAGTTCCATTCTTGCATGACCTTTTGATTTGCACTGTCTGATCTGGGTACTTCAAAAAAGTGTCACATAAGTGTTTGACCTTGAGTTGACTTCTGCAAACTGATGTAATTTTCATTAACCTGTTAGGTCACCAGGAGGAGTCAATAAGCTACCCTCATCCTGTCGTTTGTGAATGCCATCTCTTTTTAAAAAAGGATCTCTTCCTAATATTAATTTGATAAGAGATATAAAAGAGATGGTAGAGCCTGAGGTTGCCTAGAGCCACTGGTTTTTGGTGGTCTTATTCTTTAGGATTTTTCTTGATTGACGTGAATGGAAAAGGACAAGAAGTGATGGTAGTTCTAGTGTTTATTTTCACTGCCTCAATGAATATCACTTTTGATTTGTAGGCAGATGTCTTATTTCTGTACATGGAGTGTGGAAATCTCTGTGGAAATTCTTTTTTTTTTTCCCCCTTCTTTTTTTTTTTTTCCTTGTCCTTACTCTGTGAATTGCAATATTGTATTTCTCAGTGCCTGACTGTTAGCAAGGACAGTGGAATATGCACAGCTGTGGCTAATTTTATGCAGTTTTAGCTCTTCAAAGGTACGGTATTGCCTGCAGCTCACAAGAAAGGTAGCATCACAAGCGAATTTGTAGTCTTGATAACGTAACGGTATCTTCCGTTGCTGGCACCTGTGAAGTATGAGCAGCTGAGCAATAGCTGAACAATGTGGTTGTGTAGTTTGGAGCTTTCCCATAGTTTCAGATTTCCATATGTCATGAGGCTGAATTCCCACCATACATTCATTCCATATGAATAGAAGGACTCAGACGCTCCACATCCCAGCCCCCAAAGCGGGGTGTCGTATCTGCCCTCTCTCTGCTGTGCAGCAATGGACAGAGGCACCCACAAAACTATAATTACATTGTGACCTGATCAAAGGCTGGTAGCTGGGATGTTCTAGCTGACTACTCTGTCTGTGCTGTCTTCTGTCTACTCGTTATATTGATTATCTTTAATGGTATTGCCCTGTATTCGCCTTTATTTGCATCGTTGTCTTTCTGAGGAGAGAATGAGCGAACCTGTAGTCTGCCTTGAACGAAATCGTCAGAGCTGCTAGCAAAGATACCGCTGTGGTGTCTTTGGTAAGAGTCAGAAAAAAAAACAAAACCTTTTTTGGAGTGGGGGCTAATCTCAGCATTGACAGCTTAAAAGCTCCGCTTTGAGCTGGTACCAGAGAAAAAGCGTATTTTATTTTGACGCAAGAAAATAAATACATACTACTGGTGCCAGACTAAATGTTCATTTTGGGCGATAGGCCTAATTTTTCCATTCCTAGACATTTGACACTGCAGTAGCCCCATTAACATTAGTGAAATGAGTTCTGATTTACACCAATGACAGGAAGATTAGGATCAAGACATGTTTAAGCAAGGCAAGTATTCTCTTGAAGTAGTGGATTAACAAGGGCAGTAAACATGAGTGTGGGAGTAATTAGGCAATAAAATGTGCTAGGCAGTGTGTTACTGGGGGTTTATAACACTTCTTGGGTGTTGCTGCGAGGCACCTGTTTGGAAGCTGACTAGCTTTAATTACTTGGGATGCATGAGGCTGTTCCACTGTCGCTACTTCAGCGGGCTGGGAGGTAATTTGCTTTGTATGTCCCATTGCCTCAAAACCAAGAAAATGAAAGTAGACAACTCTTTAAAAAGTGTTTTAGTCCATTAAAGAGAGTTTTTGAGATTTCCTGGTTTTCTATCCTCTCCTTTTAGCAAGAAATAGACTGTTCAGATTGACCCCTTTTCAGTTCAGTTCAGCTCCGCTCCATGCAGGAGCTGCTTCCCATCTCTCCCGGCGGTGCACTCTTCTGCATGGCTTTCTGCGTGCTGCTCCTGTTTAGATTAACTTGATTCTTGTGGTCACAAGAAAGATCTCTCAAATCTTTGTGTATTGGCTTATTAAATGTTGGGGGCGGGGGTCAGCGTTCAGAGCACTAGGTCACAACACCAGTAGTGCATCCTCCAAAGCAGAGCTAGTAGATACCCAAGTGGGCAAGCACATCTGTTGAGCTCATTTCCTTCCATCCGGTGTCTCAGTATAAGACTTGGCCGATGCCGGTGGAAAGGGCCAGTGGCAGGGACTCATCGTCAGCCTTTGCAGTGGTGACATTTGACAATCCATCAGAAAGCTCTCTGCGTTTGTCCAGTCTGTGTAGCCATTTCACATTTTGCCAGCATGTTTTAAATCCACAAGCATTATTAACCTTTTGTATCTACGTGTGTATTTATTTTCAGGTTCATTGGTCTCAGATTTCTTACCACTTCCAGCCATAAACATCTCTCCTCACATGGGCTACTCCTCTTTTTTAAATTACTGGAGTAATGTTGTCTTTAACAGCATTAGCCACTTGGATGCATATCATTAGCATAAAACACTTTAAAAATAAGTTTCTAATTAAGCCCCGATTTACCAGCTCTCTGCCATACAATTTTCATTCAACCAGTTTATTTATTAGTTTTGCCATTTGGTTTCCTTGATAGCATTTGTTTTAATATGTCCCATTCTTTCTGAATTAACTGACTTGTTCTCCCTGTCTTAAAGCAACATATTTATATTGACACTTTATTAGAGAAAATTGCAACCTCTTACCAAGAGAGAGCGATTACCTCTTGTATTCTTAAAGTGCATTAAATTAATTTCACAGTGTAATTGAAACCAAGGCAGAGGGCTCATTAATGGTTCTTTATGTCCTGATACTCGTTTCTTCTTTCTTTAAAATGTGAGTTCTTGCAAATGAAAGAATGGAACTTTAATAATCATTATGAGGTACATTTTTATTTTTTTCCTTTTTTTTTCTTGTGCATGCTGCCTGGGAACGATTTTGCTTGTTCTTAGCAGTAATAGGTAGGCAACAGGTGACCACGCGAAACCCGCCCAGCCTCTTGAGCACAGGTGATTATCAGTTCAGGAAAAGGAAAACTGTTCAAACTCCCAGAAGTCTGAGCAGCTTCATGACTTCTTGTTTCGTATTTGGATTGCATGGGAAAATACTTTTACGATTATTCTAACTACAGTATAAAGGGGGCTCTCCTTTACATGGCACTCCTTGTGCACTGGAGTGACTATACGCCTGTGCAGAGGGTCATCTGGAGGTCCAAACACCACTAAAACCTTTGTAGGAGCACTTGAGCATGACTGAAGAGCCCCATGGATCCCTTGCTGGCCCTCTGCAGAGGCT